CTGGATTCATGCCCTAATTTACCACACTGTAGAATATGTTTGACCGCACTAGCTCAGAAAGGCTTTCTTTCTCATTAGAAATCTGCGCGCAAAAGCGTTAACTTCCACGCCAGCGTGAAAAAGATTTTCGAAATTGGAACTTGACGATGGACTGTGATGCACCTAACCTTGTCTTTCGATGAAAAAACCTAATGACACGTTCAACTACGTGATTTGTGGTACATATTTCTGTAATGTAAATTCGTTAGTATATCTTATTCCATTGACTTACAATCTTATTCTCATTAATGTTGACTTTAAACTGACAACTGTTTTTCTTTCAACTACCATTTTCCTCGCTGTAGTGAGGTGAAAAGTTGTGTGTTTCGCTCGGCAGCAAAGTTGTTTTGCGTCTCGTGGTTTGAAACCCTCGCTACGCTCAGAATTCTATTCGGTTGGCTCGTGGGACAATCTTAAAACTATTCTTCAAATTTTTCTTCTTTCTTAATTCACGTTACCCGCATTTCAACAAAAAAGAATCATCGAAATCAATTCACAAATGTCGGTGTAATGAGATGAGAGAGTCGGAGAAAACATACACACAAAATAAGAAATCACACATTGCTAATATGAAAAATACCTGCCTATTCAAAACGATCAAGGCGTGGCAATAACACCCAAATATATGTGCGGTCATCGTGTCACAGCTGCAATTTTGCGATTTTCGCGCTTTAGCGGGAAACGCGGAACCGGCGCAACCTTGCGCCTTCCGCCCGGTACAAAAACACCGTCACCATCCTAGGATTCACGGACTATCTATCTAGCTAATTGTTAACACTGTATAGGTATAGCAATTAAACAACGTTGACCATGACTGTATTTAGGTTTTATTTGGGAAGGTTTAAAAGCTTTTTCTTATCGTAACATAAAATTATTACAATATTAATATATATATTATGGAATATTCGATACGTGTTGAACGAATCGGATTGGAAAAAAGTAGGTAGGTAATATATATATTGATATTGTATATCATAGAATCACAGATAAAGAAAAATATGACAAAAACTTATTCATACATAGTAAACAGCTAGAGCATTGTTCAACAATTGTGAACAATTCAGGTTTTTTTTCAAATGCTACCGCACTCCCTGGACAGCATCAACAGCCCCAAACGTTATCGACTTCTTGGAGTTTTTCTTCTTGGAGAAATTTGAACGGACAAAGACGAATTTTGAAAAACTGACATTCTCGAAATTTCTTATCAGAATGTGTTAATTAGCCGAAGAATGGCTTTAGTCTGAAATAGCGGTAATATTATTCAGTTTCATAACGCAACACGTAGAAACCACTGCTGACGGTTTTTCGATTTGTCTTCTGTTACATTATATATCTTCTTATGGATAAACAAAGTCGGTGGTATTATGCATCCTTGGCGAACTCCTAGTTCAATGTGAATTATTCACTTATTTCTTTTTAAGTCAAAATGTACAGGTAAGGTACAATAAAAACTTGAATACTAAACTAAAACTAGGATTAAGTTGTATGAATAAAACTGGGTCCCCGCGGCAAGGTGCCCAAGATGGTGGCAGCGTTCCCCTTTTGTAACTACAATAATGCGGTAGGCAATGTAGCTGCCAGCCCTTGGGTTTCCCAGTCTATTAATTATTTTTGATAAAATTTTGTACAGATCACGGGCACCGGGACCCCACAGGCCAATGGTTTCGTCTCCAAATGCTGTAAATAGGTAGTCGAAGCCAAGGTCCTGGTACTTATTACTCTTTATTCTTACCGCCAGCTCAGTTGCGGAGGCAGCACTCTTGCTGGTGCACTGCAGATGGATTGGGGCAAGCGCGTCGGCACAGGTGGCGTACCACACCAGTGCCCGGCCCATTCTCTCCTCATTCCATTGAGGGTTGCATGCCGGGAGATACGACCGGCTCTCAGCTAGCAGGAAAGACCGTAGTGACCCAGAGCACTTACGTCTTTGCCACAAGGTCACCGGTGTGGGGAGCAAACTGGGACACCAAGGCGCAGGCCTGCAGCTATACAAATGTTATGGATTCTTTTTCATGTTGTTCTCGCAATGATCTACGACTCAAATTATAAAAAAAGATCGAGAACATGAACAAAACAACAAATATGAGCGATTGAAAAGGGAGTTCTACAAGGGTACATACTATCACCAACTCTGTTTAAACATGCGTATGTATTATTGGAGTCTAAAATTATTCCATAACATATTAAGAAAGCGGAGAACGTAATAAGAAAATGCCTGGGAAATGTAATCAATGGCATCTGGTATTTAATAAAATCGACATTGAAAACTATCAAGTTGAATAGCGTTTGCGCATTCTGCGAAATCTTTTTTAGTAGCTATGGAATCGTGGTAAAATAACAATAGAATATAATGACATTTATAAATAACGCAAATTACTCTTTGGCGTCCTAATGTGAAATTTTAATTATGATAATCATCAATCAATCAATCGTCTCTGTAGTGTAGAATGATATAATATGTAGTATAAAATATATATATGTATATAAGTTGCGAGAAAAACACATTCAAATGTTTTGAATTATTTTCTATGTACAAACCTTTGACTGCGCAACACTTATACAACTTTATGTGCGTTGTGTAAATCTATAACACAACATAAGTATCAAATACTTACAAAATACTGGAAACTGAAATTTAAAAACAAATTGTTATAAATTTCTAGTAATAGTAACAAACACTTAGTATCAGTGGAGCTCCTTGTGGAAGTGTTCATCCAGGGAAGTAGAAAGCCAAGTCAAGATTTTGAAAGATAAGTTCTGGTGGAATTACAGGCTGTCGTGTAGGGACAAAAATGATGGACGAAATGAAAAAAAAAGGTGATAAGCCAAGAAATAATTCTTTTAATTTTGCAATTTAGAGAAAGAAATAAAGTAGACGGGATGGAGGAGTGCGCGGCGCGTAGAGTAGAGAAGTGTATCGTATGTTAAGAAATATAGCTGAAGCCGCCGTGTTAGGGCGCGCGGCGATGCGGCGGCGAGGCCCGCCGTGAAGGGGGCAGCGACGCAGCATGCAGATCCAAAGATGGAGGATCAGGCGCGCAGCAATGAGGCTCGCAGAGGCAGCGGTAGACGGGCCGAAGGGTGCACATAAGTTTGTACGTTATCTTGCAGGAGAGCTCTTGCGGAAGATTAGGTTAGTGTATAGTAATACTGTTAGCGTTTCCGCTGTCACTCCCGATCTCAGAATGTACGCTCTTAGGCACATGACGAGCTTTTATAGTAATTTGGGTAATTTCAAAAGTTCCAAAATCAGACCAAGAGAATTATATGCGGCCAGGCCGAAATGAGGCTACCCCTGAGTCTCCCTGGGCTCAGGGGTATCCATAAAGATTTCCCCCCGTAAAAAAAGAAAAAAAAAAAAACGCAAAAGTGTGCGAGACCGAACAAATTATAGCGCCGAAATCTGTGATAGAAGATAGTAAAAATTGCGATTGAAGATGAGGTGTGTCAGGAGATAGATTTTGAGGGCTCGCAACCAGGAAACCAATGGATGGAGATGACCAAAATGGTGATAAAAATGGCGATGAAGCTTGCCCACAGCCACAAAAATGAATGTGAATATGAAGGATGAACTGTGAGTAACATGATAACACTACAAGGCACATGAGATTTGTCAACTTATGTCTCAGGGTGACGGGTGCAGTGGCAGTACCTCTCCGATCTTTATGATTTAAAGTTCTGAGTGGTAATGCAACTGTTACGGACAGGCGTGTAGCTTAGGCGCACGACTTGTTCGTCCCGTCATTTGATATAGTGTTGGGTAGGACATGAAATTAAAATGAGTTTGAGGGAGTACCTGGTGGTCCAGTCCAGGCCCACAACTTGTTCATCTCGTCACATGATATCATATAAAAAACAAATTCAGTGTCGGTGACAGCCCAGAGTAGAGATGCAGCAGAAGTCTGTACCCGCATCCGACATCCGCATCATTCGATGCAGAGATTTTGCGGTTGCGGACGTTTTGCACAGAAACCTCTCGATGAAACCAAAGTCGAATAATCTTTATTTCATAGGTCATAATGATACTTATAATCGTTATATTGATTTAACTCTACTGCTCATTCGTAATGCAGATTCCTCTGAGAAGAATAAGCAAGGAACTTTGGGGGTGCTCTCTTACAAATGTGTACAAATGTTTATTTACAAAAATAAACATTTGTTCACATTTGTAATTTACAAAATTAATTTCAAACATTACAGATCGAGACAAGCTGCAAGAGCTAAACGAGTCACTACGGATTTTTCTCATCCAAGTACACACGCAGAAGGTGTATAAAAAATAACCTTTAGTATATGGTTTTTGTTTCATTATAATTTTAAATGTCATGAATGGAAAATTTGGAGTATCAATCGGAGTCTTATTATAGAAGTTAAGCGACCTAAATGTGAAAAAAGGTCTTGGAAAACTTGTGAAACCCCGTCCTTTCTTAGGATTCAGTCGACGGTGAATCAGGAGCGACTGAAAATCAGCCTTTATCTCGCTCGAGATGGACATTTTCCTGATTCATATCATTTTTCTGTTTTGCGCCACCATATATGCACCACTTATGAACTTTAAATTACTCAGTTACTTGTTATTTTAGTCTTAAGTATTTAGATTTAAGTGTGTATGCAGACTCAATTTATTGAATACACGTTTTCCTTTTTTTCTTCCTTTCTTCCCTTCTTTCTTTCTTTTCTCTCTTTCTTCGAGTCAACCTGAGATGTACTATAATGAGTTGACGATGAAACAAATTGAACTACTCGATCAGTTTCACTCCTGAGAAATGTAATAGGATCCAATCACTCGCTTCGCTTGATCTAGACGTCCGAATTAGTGCAAATTAATTAGCGATGTTTTTTGCAAAAATGCAATTCCCATTTCGCCTTCACTTCTCACTTGGCCAAGCAAAAAAGCGCAGGTCAAAGTTGTCAATTAGAAACAGATTAGAAAACACACAACTGGCAGTTGTTGGATGCCTCCCAAGTTAGGCACACGCCTTTTGGCGTTCAGCCTCTGAAAATATTAAGTTACATTTTTGGTGTTAAAGTTTTAACTACATTGATTGAGGTAAGTTACGCAATTTCACATATTTCTGGCTAGTTGTAGAAGTCTTGCATTCAATTCCCGGTACGGTCAACTTAGAAAACAATTTTTTGTATATTTTTATTCTGATCACGGTGTTCAGTTTGATGCCTTCGGGTGTATAACCAGTTAATGCATATGATTCTTTGGTATATTCGTTAAATTCAATTCATTCATTATATTTATTAATTAGAAAGCATTGGAACCCTGAATAGCACAGCAACATAGGAATAAGGCATGTGGACGTTGTAAATTTCAACACGAGCAGGCAAAGTCGACCGTAATGTCGTAAATTATGCACACGGGCTTTTTCATTACATTATTGCCCTATGGATTTATTACGTCAAGATTAAGCAAAAAGTTTTTATGCTCGAAAATCTGAACGTACATTTCGCATAAACTTGAAGCATAAAAAAACAAACATTTGCAGTTTAACTATATTTTACTAAATTTATTTTGTGAATTCAATTTCTGCGGTATTTTTTGAATTTTGAAATTATTTATTTCATATCTAACACATTCTGGCTGCATGTGTGCGTGCTTTTTTTTAACATTTTAGTTCGAGTTGTATTAATAGAAGGAGACGGTTATATTTGTCAGTGTTTGCATGTTTGTCTGTACATACGTCAAATATTTTTCCAAGTAAGATCAAACACCCAATAGTGAATACAAGTACCCATGTGAAGTGCGGCCATTACGAATGTCTCTGGGTATGCGTTGACCTTTGTATCGGGTTAGCGACGTTTTTGATGTCAGCGTTTCATATTGGACATAACTTTTACTTAACTTATTATTATTGCTGGTTGTTGATGACTAATACCTTCACAGTCAACCGTGACCATCGGTCTTGTAAAGAGCCAGAAACGTTTGTTTGTTTGTTAAAATAAATATGTGATTTTAGATTCAAATAATCAGTAATTTGTGATAACCGAAACGAACCCGGAACAGCATCAGGGACCTCCTCGATACACCCTTTCAAAAAACAGAAGAATTTTCAAAGTCGGTGCACAATTGATGGAGAAATTGGTGAATGCACATGCCTATAAAATTTGAGGATTTCCTTCGATTTTCATTTGATCCTCTCATTAGATTCTGACTTGGTGACAATGGAACCACCACGAGAGTACATCCTTTCAAACAAAAAAGAATTTTCAAAATCGGTCCACAATTGACGGAAATATCGGAAAACATGCATAAAACATACATACAGCCGAATGTATAATCACCTACTTTTTTTAAGTCGGCTAAAAAATAGCTTAATTTACATTGAGTTAGTATACCTACACTTTTACAATTTATTGGTCCATAGCCTTTGGCATAAAGAACAATGCCCAAGTTCCATAAAGTCCTGGACAAGCTAAAAACGACCTTCAATCGCAGATAGCTTAGCTTAGCTTATGTTATTAATGAACATTAATACATTACTTACAAGTTCCGAGTTAAATATTATTATAATGTAAGTATGGTCGGGTTACATTAAAAGTGTCTAATACTTAGATTGACTACGACAGTATTGTTAGCATTTGTTTTTGGACATAGCACGACTTAAATTTTGACGTTTGATTTGTAGTCTCGTTTACACTTGACATGATTTCTCTAACGTTGAGACAATTTCTTCTTGAATTTTCTGACAACTAATTAAAGAAGTCTTACGTATTTAAGATCATTGCTTATCACTGCGTATTGGATCACCTGCCTGGCGGTGGCAAGTGCAAACGAGGCTTAAAATAAAATATCAAAATTTAAATCATGCATGTTACGTTCAAAAACAAATATTAATAATGCTTTTTTACGTATTTTTTTGAAATTCTTTTTTGTCCACCTTATTTCAAAGTTTTATGAATGAAACTTAGATTATTATAAAACGTATGTTTAGACGGATGGAACTTTCAACTGGTCGCGACCAAAAAATTTGCGAGTCCAAAGTGCGCATAGTTCTTTATACAATATTTAATAATTAATTTTAGTAGGTACCTGTTATTAGGTCCCCGAAAGTTCCTCTTTTACCTTTATATTGAATTTAAGAAAAAGCTCTGTGGTGCTAACGCACAGGCCAAGCTAACACGACAGGGTGCGATTTGCAAGCAGAGGCCGGAGGTTCGAAGCCGAGCTAACACCTCTGAGTGTCTCGGAATGTATGTACGAAATTTAATTTGAAATTTACCACGAAAACATTGTGAAGTAGGTTCACAACACTCGAACAACGTGTACGGAACTCGCATTGGCCAGCGTGGCGGACTATGGCCTAAAACCCTCGCCAGAGAGGAGACCCGTGCCCAACAGTGGGATATAAAAATGGGTTGATGATGCATTTTATGTAATTTATACCTGCGGTTGTGACCTAGATGATAAAAACGTAGCAGTTGCTTATGGCTCACCATTAGTGTTGTCAAAGACCGTAAATAAATAGAGTACAAAAAACAGACTGTGCGCATGACCTGGATTTCTCATTTCTGCGATATCCAGAGAAGTCGATTTGGCATACAGCAGTAGGTAACTTAAAAAAGAATTGGACTAGCATTTTTAAAGTACGCCAAAAGTGTAACAAACCTTACTTTTCTAGAAATGAAACTATTTTTTCAGCTCTAGATAGCGTGTATTTGTTTTCTTTCAAAAAAACCAACGTTGCATCTAGTTAGATATGACCATGGGACCTGTAAAGGTTCCGAAACGTAGGTTTGTTTGAAAAAAAAATCAAGTATACGCAATTTACATCCGAAATAACTTTTTTATAAAAAAAACGACCTCAAAGTTTGCATATCGACTTGCGCTGTATTCGTTATATCTATTTGTCAAGTTTATTGAAATCGGTTAACGGAAAGTAGGCGAAATCCGGATTCATTCGTTAATTTGCCACCCTTAGAGCATTGTCGCACTACGTCCAATTCGTATGAGTGTCGAATCCGAGACATGACACCTGAAGTGGGTCCGAGTTTTCCAGATTTGTATAGTCGGTTGTAGTGCGGGCTTGGTGGTGAAATATTTTCTTCAAATTTGAATTGGACCACTACCGTTAGTAGCAGTAGAGCTCCCTGTGAAAAAGTTCGTTCAGGGAAGTACTGCCATCTTACCTATTTCTGACGCAGTAATGTGCAGTAAAGTAATGTGCGTTCCAGTTTAAAGAGTAAGAGTGCTGGTGAAATTATAGGCACATGAGACTTGTCAACTTATGTCTCAGGGTGACAGGCGAAATGGCAGTGTCCCTCAGATCTTTGCGATTTAAAGCTCTGAGTGGCACTGCAACTGCTATGGACAGGCGTGTCGCTTAACACCAGGCGCACGACTTGTTCATCCTGCTATTATGTATAATAAAAAATAAATAAAAAATATCGACTGTATCTTTTTTGTGTATGTGTTACACTCCGGCATTAAATTTGTAAATCGATTTTGATGGTTATTTTTTTGTTGGAAAGACGGTACCTTAGTATTGCTACCAATCAAATTTGAAGGAAATATTCCACCTCTAAGGGTGGCGAACTAGGGAAGAATCCGGTTTCGCGCACTTTCCGGTAACCGATTTCAATAAAACTTGGCAAATAGATGTAATTCCACCATTGACTTATAAATAAATGGACGACGGGTGTAATACAAAAACCACGACAAAAATGTCCCAAGTCAACCTATTTAAACGTAGTGACATGTAAAGGAATATGAAAAAGCTAAAACGTTGAATTTAAATTGTAATGTCATCGCAGTACTGTCTAATTTTGCTTGCTTCGCTGTCAGTCGAACAAACGAAGTCTAAAGCGTGAATGACGCTCTGTATACGATTTTAACGCCGTATAAGTTCGGATACTTTTTAGCGCGGACCCGACGTCCATATAATTGTAAGTCAATGAATTCCACAAACTTTTGAAGTCTTTTTTTATAAAATAGTAATTATTATTTTATATTAGCTGGTGCTTTGGTACAAGTAACGGTGTGTCAACAAGTTGGATAATTAATTTGGTATGGCTAACAAAATAGGGTTTGTAATAGAAAAATCCAAAACTTCAAACTTAAAAATTTAATTTCCGTTACAAAATTGTTTCGTTAGCTAATTGATTTCTATGGTTAAATCAAAATTTTAACTGTTTCCCATTTAATTCTATTCTTTTCTGTAATGTACCTGACGCCTTTCACATGTACAATAACGCGGAACTATAATTATTGAAAAAACACAGTTTTTTTTTATTCAAATGTTTATATGTAAACAAACCTGTGACGGTGTGACCTCCTTATACCGTCATCACACCTTTTTGTATCGCCTCTCTCCATTCGTATCGTGTCGTTTTTTCTTCTTCTACTCATATTTAAATTTAAAATTGTTCCATTTTAGCGAAGCGGTAGCGAACATACCGTTATTTATCTTTTTAAATCGTTTACTAGCTACATTTATACAGTTTACATTTTAAAGATTTTAAAACCGATTAAATAAACCGATTAAATATCTATAAACTGGACTTTTAACGTTTGAATTGCTAAATTTACTAAATAAGTTGTTGGAAGCTGCGAGGCTGCGGAGGCTATTACTGCTATCCAGGCTACACACCCTTACAATCCACCAGAACCCCCCCAGCACCAGCAGCACCTCCACAAACCAACCGTATTAGCCTCTTGTTTGTCACTATTTAAAAAAGGTGCATACTATTGAAATGTCTATGATTCTTCTTCTCTTGTCAGTGAAGTCATTAGAGATTTTCTCTTAGCCTGCCTTGGACAGGATATATCACGGAGAATGTGCAATGGAATTTTTGCATTCCGGGGACTAGAAGTAGGCTGGGGTTCCACCATCACATTTGTATATTACGAACTGGAATTCCGTCGGAAGATGGGTCTTTTCAAGACGCTATTTTTTTATTATACCTAGTAACGGGACGAGCAAGTCGTGGTTCTACTGGTAAGCGACATGCCTATCCACATCAGTTGCAGTGCCATTCAGAGCTTTAAATCACAAAGATCTCAAGGGCACTGTCACTACGCCCGTCACCCTGAGAATTCTATTT